GTAGAAGAGACATGAAGAAGAGGGGACACATGTTGATGAAGAAGAGACATGAAGAAGAGGGGACACATGTTGATGTAGAAGAGACATGATGAAGAGGGGACACATGTTGATGTAGAAGAGACGTGAGGAAGAGGGGACACATGTTGATGTAGAAGAGACATGAAGAAGAGGGGACACATGTTGATGAAGAAGAGACATGAAGAAGAGGGGACACATGTTGATGTAGAAGAGACATGAAGAAGAGGGGACACATGTTGATGTAGAAGAGACATGAAGAAGAGGGGACACATGTTGATGAAGAAGAGACATGAAGAAGAGGGGACACATGTTGATGAAGAAGAGACATGAAGAAGAGGGGACACATGTTGATGAAGAAGAGACATGAAGAAGAGGGGACACATGTTGATGAAGAAGAGACATGAAGAAGAGGGGACACATGTTGATGTAGAAGAGACATGAAGAAGAGGGGACACATGTTGATGTAGAAGAGGCATGAAGAAGAGGGGACACATGTTGATGTAGAAGAGACATGAAGAAGAGGGGACACATGTTGATGTAGAAGAGACATGAAGAAGAGGGGACACATGTTGATGTAGAAGAGACATGAAGAAGAGGGGACACATGTTGATGAAGAAGAGACATGAAGAAGAGGGGACACATGTTGATGTAGAAGAGACATGAAGAAGAGGGGACACATGTTGATGTAGAAGAGACATGAAGAAGAGGGGACACATGTTGATGTAGAAGAGACATGAAGAAGAGGGGACACATGTTGATGTAGAAGAGACATGAAGAAGAGGGGACACATGTTGATGTAGAAGAGACATGAAGAAGAGGGGACACATGTTGATGTAGAAGAGACATGAAGAAGAGGGGACACATGTTGATGTAGAAGAGACATGAAGAAGAGGGGACACATGTTGATGTAGAAGAGACATGAAGAAGAGGATTTTGCACAATAGGTGACCTTTAAGAATAGTTTTATTGTGATGTTTGACCAACACAACATGGATCTGGACCTCATTTGTTCAGTTATCTGCAATAATGGCTGAAATATAGTGAAAGGATTAAAAGAGTGAAACTCCATGTTTAGGTAATAGGCGCACTCATTTGAAAAAAATATATATGTGGGACAACTTGCCAACTTTTTAAGCGTTTTCTACACAATTTGTCCAATCTAGAAAAGCTCATATTTCAGGGGGGGGGTTGCATTATACCCCCTTCTACCCACCCAACTACATTGGAGGTGGAAACACGCTTCACATGCTGCACATTGCACTTTCTATCAAATAATGTATCTGTAGAAATAGAGTGGTGCAGGGACGAGTCCTAAAACCAGGAAGTGAGTCAGCATTTCACCACTTCCTGTTCCCTCGTCTCAGAGCCAATGGGATCTCTCCATAGGATTTAGGAAAATAGCTGTAAATAAGGTCTGTGGTTGAGACACATTGAAGAGACGGATCACGTTTTGTTCTAGGACATTAAATCCATCAGCAGTGACCCCACTGGTGATTTCTGAAGAGTTGACGTGTCTGAAAAACGATGGTTGTTACCAAGTGGCTGAATAGGACTACAGAAGTCGTGGAGGTCGTTGTACGTCATTACGCCGAACACGTGAACACTCCTCTAAGTTAGTTTGCCCTGTTCTGCTTGAAAGCAAGTACCTGCCTCCTGCAAACTGTTCAAACAAACACTTCAACTTGTACCATTTAGAATCTGTATGTTTGAGTATGGATCTGAAGTTGGCGTGACGTTGAAGTCGTGCTGCTGGACTCGGCTGTAGTTCCTTTATAGCATAACGTTAGCATTTTGCTTCTGGCCATTAGATTTATGATTAGAACATTATAAAAGTAAGGTAGACATGTGGAGATTATCCGGCTGAACAAAACGTGCATTTATCAAACAGGCTCGTTTTCCACAGACCTTATTTCCAGCTATCTTCCTCAATCCTATGGAGAAATCCCGTTGCTTTTTGTCGAGGGAACCAGCAGCTTCCTTCGGGTAAATACGTCATCCCTGCACCGCTCTATATCTAATCATCTTATTAGAGAGCTAAACCATCTCCTATATACTTTAAATAATCAGGTGACATACTTTTCAGATATCCTGGTGACACAACATCCTGCTTTAAAGAGCGTTGTAATGCTTCACATTATAAAGTGTGTGTGCACAGGAAGTCTCTGCTGCACACTTTCACATCGCTGATTTCCAGCCTGGAGGAATACAGAGCTCTTAACTGGAAGCTCTCATGGTTTCTATGGTCCTGTTATTGTTCTGTTTCTCTGGTGACTGCGCTGATAGTGAGGCTGTATTCTGTGATTACTGACTATTGTTTGCTTATTAGGACGTTATGGTTAGATAAGAACCTCAAAGCGCTTAATGGAGATCCGTCAGTCGGGGAAACTCTGAAATGCTTTGGTTCTGAGGGTTATTTCTTTAATAGCTGTGTGGTTTTAAGACTTATTCAAATATGTTTATTTGTAATTATAGTACATAAGTAATATAACCACACTGTATACATCTGTTTATATCTGTATACTGTCTATACTATCACTATACTGTCAATACTTTTTATACGATACATACTTCATCTGTTTATAGCCTATTTATAATGATTCATTCATTTCTTTATATCATGTAGACACTTGCACTGCTAGTTTGCACTTCTGGTCAGATGCCAAACTCCATTTCATTACTAGTACCTGTACTATTGACATTGAAGTTCAATCAATCAATCAATCGATATGCTTTATTAATCCCAGAGGGGAAATTAAGTAATATATATTACAGACAGGAATTACACACGTTTGGCTAACTTTGCTAAACTCTGCTAAATTAGTTAGTATAGTATAGTAATAGTTTTATTGGTTGTAGGTTGGTCTATCAAAAGTACACTGACTTCAATCTGTCAGTTATTATTGTATATTCAATTCAGATGCTCTCTATGTGTACGTGTGTCACTGTTGTTATGCACGTCAATAATGTTTTGTTTATTTTCTACTGTTGATATTTCATGTATATGTTTATTTTGTATTTTATTTCATTTGCAATTCACACGCAATGCCTTGACGTGGTATCAATAAGAGTTCATCTAATCCAACAATCAACATTCAAAACATTTTGTAATACTCGTGCAAGATGTCGAGTCGTATCCACTGCCATACTTCTACCCTCATGTTAATTATAATTGATTGTATTACAAAAAAAACATTGCTTTGGTATAGAATGACTTCATTGTTTATAAGCCGGCTGATATGGGGGAAATAGTGTGGATCGGAAAATATTCTTTCATGATGTTTGACGTATGACATCTTTAAAGGACTGTATGAACATCTTTACGCTGAAGAAAATGTATAAAGAAAGCGTAATCAGACAGTATGAAGATGATTGTGTGGTTTTATGTTTCTGTAAGTATTTGTAAGCAACTGTGATAGATACTTTATTTATTATTATTTCATGTTTTGGTTATTTGTTTTAAGTAAGGGCAGGTACAATAAGATGTTCTTCTCCCTGCTCCTTTCCACCATGGGCTTCAAAACAAATCTGTGTAAAGTGTACATGTTTCGTTTTTAAATAACTGCCATGTGTGGAATAAACTAATACATACATATATAAAAGTTGGCTAGGAGTAGGAGTTAGTTTGTTTTGTTCAAATACGACTAGCTAAACATCACAATGAACAGCTCTTTTGGTGATTTGCAAATGTTTCTGCTACTTCAGCACCACGGACAGCACCGTGGATTTATTTACATTTAAATTCATCCAGCAACAGGTTTAGGGAGTAACAGATTACATTTAATGGGATACCATAAACACTTCTAAACATTGGGGATTACTAGCAGGATAACCATGTTAGCAAAACACTAAAAAGAGGATGTTTTGATACCCAGATTAGGTAACTTTTGACTTTCTTTTACAGGCAACTAGAAATCATTACGGAATACATTTTTGAATGTACCCTCTCGACCCGGATGATGCCACGTTGAAACATAAGGCATTTTAATTTGTAAAATGTACAGTGTGCAGTGAAGCTGTGTTATAGGTTACTATGGTTCAGTCTCTGTCTATGATTGGCTACAGGAACATCTCACACCCATTCACACACACACACACACACACACACACACACACACACACACACACCATCTCTCAAACACTGACACTGCACAGAGAGAGAAACACACCTTTCATTTCCTTCACGCAGACCCACCCACACACACACACACACACACACACAAACACACACACACACACACACACACACCATCTCTCAAACACTGACACTGCACAGGGAGAGAAACACACCTTTCAGTTCCTTCACGCACACGCGAACACACGCGAACACACCCTCACACACACACACACACACACACACACACGTCACACACACACACACACACACACACACACACACACACACACACCGCCCTCCCATGAACACACAGCATTAGGCTACATGAAGATAATCAATGCTCTGGCAGCTATAAATAAATAATTCAGCCGGCCTCCCCCCTCCAGCAGCAGCGCGGGAACTGCCTCATCTTCATTAATGATAATCAGTGAAAAACAGCTGCTGCACCCTGTCTTCCTCCCCCTTTTTATTATCCTCTCTCATTCGCACCTAAACCCGCGATATGGCGCTGGAAGATCAAGGAAAAAGGTTTGCAGGAAAAACCTCCAGACAGGTGGATCTGACCGACACCTGCTGCAGACTCCTGTCGCGTTAACACACACACACACACACACACACACACACACACACACACACACACACACACACACACACACACACACACACACACACACAGCAGCAGCAGTTCACGCCTAAAACCTGTGCGCACCCTCTCCGTCTTCACATCCTCCGGGCTCCACAAACACCGGTCACAATCACCTCTATATCCCCGCAAAGAAGCAGATAAACAAACAATAAGGCAAAAGCCCCGCCCCCCTCTGCACTAACAGGTTTTCTGTCAGATTGTGGGTGCGTTCGTTTTACTGACCTGATGATGGAGAGACCGATGAGGAGCGAAAGGGATCCCGACCAGTCTGCAGCCAAAAGCGTGAAGCCTGTCCTATATCCTCTCTCTCTCTCTCTCTCTCTCTCTCTCTCTCTCTCTCTCTCTCTCTCTCTCTCTCCCCCCCAATCCCGCCTCCTGCGCACTATTACCTCACAGCCTCCACTATGTTCCTCCAAGAGAGCATATGGTAACAGATTCTGTGCAAGGAGAGACACAACAGGTCTTTTTTATAGCAGGTTTTTTTTTCAATTAATAATGATAATATTGAATTTTATTTTTTTTTTTGAACACCAAATATAATGCTGATGTGCAGGTGTATATCAGTATGTAGTGTCTCTACTTTAAAGAGTCCTCTCCTGCTGATGTTCAGGTGTATATCAGTATGTAGTGTCTCTACTTTAAAGAGTCCTCTCCTGCTGAGGTTCAGGTGTATATCAGTATGTAGTGTCTCTACTTTAAAGAGTCCTCTCCTGCTGATGTGCAGGTGTATATCAGTATGTAGTGTCTCTACTTTAAAGAGTCCTCTCCTGCTGATGTTCAGGTGTATATCAGTATGTAGTGTCTCTACTTTAAAGAGTCCTCTCCTGCTGATGTGCAGGTGTATATCAGTATGTAGTGTCTCTACTTTAAAGAGTCCTCTCCTGCTGATGTTCAGGTGTATATCAGTATGTAGTGTCTCTACTTTAAAGAGTCCTCTCCTGCTGATGTTCAGGTGTATATCAGTATGTAGTGTCTCTACTTTAAAGAGTCCTCTCCTGCTGATGTGCAGGTGTATATCAGTATGTAGTGTCTCTACTTTAAAGAGTCCTCTCCTGCTGATGTTCAGGTGTATATCAGTATGTAGTGTCTCTACTTTAAAGAGTCCTCTCCTGCTGATGTGCAGGTGTATATCAGTATGTAGTGTCTCTACTTTAAAGAGTCCTCTCCTGCTGATGTTCAGGTGTATATCAGTATGTAGTGTCTCTACTTTAAAGAGTCCTCTCCTGCTGATGTTCAGGTGTATATCAGTATGTAGTGTCTCTACTTTAAAGAGTCCTCTCCTGCTGATGTTCAGGTGTATATCAGTATGTAGTGTCTCTACTTTAAAGAGTCCTCTCCTGCTGATGTTCAGGTGTATATCAGTATGTAGTGTCTCTACTTTAAAGAGTCCTCTCCTGCCGATGTTCAGGTGTATATCAGTATGTAGTGTCTCTACTTTAAAGAGTCCTCTCCTGCTGATGTTCAGGTGTATATCAGTATGTAGTGTCTCTACTTTAAAGAGTCCTCTCCTGCCGATGTTCAGGTGTATATCAGTATGTAGTGTCTCTACTTTAAAGAGTCATCTCCTGCTGATATCCAGGTGTATATCAGTATAGTGTCTCTACTTTAAAGAGTCCTCGCGCTAGTGTTCCATAGTGATGTCACTATGTTCTGGAACTAAACAAAGGAGTCCAATATAACCCCATGTAATCATTTTTAAAAGATGAACCAAAAATCATGAAAAACTGTCTTTTTAATTATAGAATTGTAGAAATGTTACTAATGAAAGCAAATACTGAATGAACCATAAAGTCACACAGTCTTAAACTTGTAGGAGCATTAAGCAAATAAGCGTGTCCATTTTCGAGCTCTTCTTTAATCTGCCCGCTGTCTCTAAAGAAGAACCTCCGCCCAGCAGAAGGAACACCTCGCATGTCTCCTCTCATTAGGACCAGTGCTCTCCTAATTACTCCTAAGTTTTGAAAAAATATCGAAATTTGAAAAATAAGTCAGAACTTTGAGAATAAAGGTGAGAATTTTGAAAAACATATCAAAAGAAAAAAAATCTGGATTCCTTGAATTTTTCAGATTGCTTATCGGAAGTTCAGTAAAGCAGCATGGAGCAGATAAAATAAGATGAGATAAGATGAGATGAGATGAGATGAGATGAGATGAGATGAGATGAGATGAGATGAGATGAGATGAGATGAGATGAGATGAGATGAGATGAGATGAGATGAGATGAGATGAGATCAGATGAGATGAGATGAGATGAGATGAGATGAGATGAGATGAGATGAGATGAGATGAGATGAGATGAGATGAGATGAGATGAGATGAGATGAGATGAGATGAGATGAGATGAGATGAGATCAGATGAGATGAGATGAGATGAGATCAGATGAGATGAGATGAGATGAGATGAGATGAGATGAGATGAGATGAGATGAGATCAGATCAGATCAGATGAGATGAGATCAGATGAGATGAGATGAGATGAGATGAGATGAGATCAGATGAGATGAGATCAGATCAGATGAGATGAGATGAGATGAGATGAGATCAGATGAGATCAGATGAGATGAGATGAGATGAGATGAGATGAGATGAGATGAGATGAGATGAGATGAGATGAGATGAGATGAGATGAGATGAGATGAGATGAGATGAGATGAGATGAGATATGAGATGAGAGATGAGATGAGATGAGATGAGATGAGATGAGATGAGATCAGATCAGATCAGATGAGATGAGATGAGATGAGATGAGATGAGATCAGATCAGATCAGATCAGATGAGATGAGATGAGATGAGATGAGATGAGATCAGATCAGATCAGATCAGATCAGATGAGATGAGATCAGATGAGATGAGATGAGAGTAGAAGTACTTTATCGATCCCAATTTGGGAAATGTTTGCGTGGCAGCAGCATGAAAAGAAAAGGCATTGAACAATACAAATTAAAAGAAATAAACATTCCAATATGTAAACATCTCAATAGAAATAAAATAGCATTAAAAAAAGTAGAAAATATACATGTTGAAATAAAAATGCACAGTAACAAGATATAAAGCAGGACATTAATTTATATATACATAAGTATGTGAGTAATGGAATATTAAATATTAGATTGAATATAAATGTACAGTGTGAGTTTAAGTCCAGATGGCAGCTGAGAAAAGGGGGCGGGGCATCAGCTCTTTATTAACAACAATACACTGATGTGAAGGCTGGTGTAACACTAATGGACTCATTGTTAAAGTGTCATTACCAGCTCATTTATCACTCTGCAAACACACACACACACACACACACACACACACAGACACACACACACACACACACACACACACACACACACACACACACAGACACACACACACACACACACACACACACACACACACACACACACACACACACACACACTGAGCAAACAGACAGGACAGGTGCTGCCTGCTGCTCAGCCTCATGTCACGCTAACAACTCGCTGAATCGGCTGAATCTGAGCAAACAACAACCTCACACTCTGCCAGAGAGAGGAGAACACCGACAGCAACAAGTGGAGGAACATGGATTTCACGATAAGGCCCTAAAACAGATATATATTGACATAAATATAAAATGTTGTGTCCAAATTCTGCATAGGAAGATAGTGGTGCAGGGATGATGTCGTTTCTTATGCCAATCCTGAAGTTAGCATCACAAAAACTCCTTTGACTAAAAGCAATGGGATTTCTACATTGGATTTTGGATTATTTCAGAAAATAAAATCACGTTTATGATACTTACACGCTTTGTTCAGTAGGATAATCTCCACATATTAACACCACTTTGTGATTTTTGTAGTAAAAAGCTAATGTTGGGCTATAAAGGAACTACAGCATGGTCACATGACTTCACGTCACCACCGCTAAGCTAAAGGCGGCTAATGTTGGGCTATAAAGGAACTACAGCAGGGTCACATGACTTCACGTCACCACCGCTAAGCTAAAGGTGGCTAATGTTGGGCTATAAAGGAACTACAGCATGGTCACATGACTTCACGTCACCACCGCTAAGCTAAAGGCGGCTAATGTTGGGCTATAAAGGAACTACAGCACGGTCACATGACTTCACGTCACCACCGCTAAGCTAAAGGCGGCTAATGTTGGGCTATAAAGGAACTACAGCACGGTCACATGACTTCACGTCACCACCGCTAAGCTAAAGGAGGCTAATGTTGGGCTATAAAGGAACTACAGCACGGTCACATGACTTCACGTCACCACCGCTAAGCTAAAGGAGGCTAATGTTGGGCTATAAAGGAACTACAGCATGGTCACATGACTTCACGTCACCACCGCTAAGCTAAAGGCGGCTAATGTTGGGCTATAAAGGAACTACAGCACGGTCACATGACTTCACCTCACCACCGTTTTGTTTTCACAGAGCATTAGTAATCTTCTCCTGAGGTCGGCGTAATTTTTCCTCACAAATCTTTGTTAAGGCAAACACGTCATTGTTCTCATCGCCACAAAATCATCCTGAGGTCGAGGAGAGGTTACAAACACTGTGGAGAAACCTCTCAGAGTTTGAAATATGTCGACAGGTCTGATTATTGGATGCATTAAAAGCCTTAATGTTGTCGTTGTGTGAGATCAGAGTAAATGTGGTCATGAAGCTTCCTATGGTCTTTGGATGGAGTCACAGTTATCATTTATTAAAGGCATTTAAAGAAGTCATTGTCTTCATCCAAAAGGGTTGATATTTTACTGCCAATGTTTTTGTGGAAAATCTCCCTAACTTTTTTATTGGTTCTGTGTTTTTGTCTTTTAACATTTTAACCTAACTTCCTGTAGAATTAGCTCCTGGTGTATTTCAATAAACTCAGGTTGACTATGTGGTTAGCCAAAGTCTGCATAGGGCTACTTTCCCGATGAACGAACATTAAAAAGACTTAAATCGTTCAAATGTGGACTTTAAACACCATCCAAGTAATGAGTATATTCTGCTCTTATCATTAGAAAATACAAATACGGTTCTTTTATGTTGTTATTCGTTATTTTGGAGTGAATTTTGTAACAGGAATGACTAGTAAAATGTTATAGCTGCATCATCGTAAAGGCTGTGGCTATTTCCTGGACACATTTAATACTTCTGCAGACCCTTAACGAGCCAAACTCATAAATTATTGGCACGAAAACAGTAATGGTATCTTTGCAGCGGTGAATAAACTGGATCTTTATGTGGGATTCATCATGCTCTCTCCCTCTCTGCTTTAATGAACTTCAGACTGTATTATAACGCTGAGTGTAATAACAGTCTGAACTGATGGAGAGCTGGACCTCGCCTCAGAAAATCTAATCAAACAGAACGCAGCGTGAGATTAGCTCCATATTA